TTTTTTTTTCAAGCATTTCATTGGCTGACATGATCGGATAAACACCTATTAGTATTTGTTCGCATATTCTTGAAAATCTTTAAAATGATCTTTCCATTAATCACCCATGACTCCTAACAATCCTTCAATTTTTCAGTTCCTGTCCCAGTGGAATCAATGAGTATCATTTTGTTCTCCTGTTGATGGTTTTTCCCTTATACTTTGGATTTAAATGTCAGTTAGTTTACAAAATGTGTGTTGACTTTCGCTAATTAACATTCGCATCCGCTAAATTTCTCACTATTTGAATTTGAACAATTCTTGAGTCATCGCACAACATTTGACTGAATTCATTGAATAGGTGTGAGCGATTAGTTGCATGTTTCGTGCTGAAGCTGATGAATTTTTGAATTTGCTGATGATATCAGTGAATTAGATGAAAAATGTACCGTAATTAAACTACATCACTGAATAGAAATGTGACCATATTAAGCTTTTGGATCGGCAGATTGGTGCTGCACTGTGATAACTTATCAATATTCTATTGATGTCTATCAAGATTCTACTTGAACTTACTTCGATCGCCATCATTCAACTATCTGAGGAGCTGCTTTCATAGGTTTGTGAGACTGAATATCGCAAAAATTGAGAATACTTTTATGAAAAGAGCGTTCTATTAGAATACAATGTTCCGGCTCTTTCGAATTCGCCAAAATTAAACGATTTCCCATGATTGTTGTAGGATCATTTTATCAGCACTTTTTTGAAGTTCTCATTTTCGATGAGTGCTTTGATTCGGCTTCGCATCAACTGAACTGATCTGATTGTGATTGCTACTCTGCCAAATGCTTGAACTATTTCCAGTAGCATACCGAATTTCCAGTTGCATCTTGGTGAGCAAGTGCAAAACATTTTTCATTAATATGGCTTGTTTTGGACCAGTGTATACTTCAAATGCACCAATTTGGATTGTTTTATATTTGAGAGCATTAATATCTGGCTCAGGAGCGCTACTGATTCCAATGGATTTCAAAAGAGAAGTAAGTTTGTATTGATGCCCACCTCTTTCTACTTTCAACATTTAAGATATAATATCGTTAATGGAATTGAATAAAGCCTTCCAACACCTCTGTTTCCAAATGATCTGCGCAGATGCTCAAATCACTTAAATACCAAAACGCAATTTCACGATTTATCTGAAAAACAATTCGTGATCTTATTGCTGATAATATTCCTCTTATCATTCGCCAAATTAATCTCATTATTATTGCTTCAATCTGTTTCACTGAATAATCACTAACTGTGTACGTTAAACTGCACACCATCAGCTATTTGAATGCACATTTCAGTTAGTCAAAACCCATCAACACAAAAATGAGAAGATTCTTCTGCTGCTTCATTACTTCGTTACATCGATATCCGCGTTGTGTTCATTTGTAAATGCAGTTATTCCCATCTATCTTTATTCAATTCGACCATTCATAACTAAAACTGCGCTCACCAATTATGTTAGATTTTCGCATGTTTCTCTCTTATTGATACATGAGAGCATGTGTTAGTTGAATGAGATCCTGATGGAGCTTTGATTTCTCATCTTCAATTCTAAGCATTTTCAAGAAGGCAGATGAAATCCTCGTCGTATTTCAAGGTAGTCACGAAATAAAGTTCATGATATCCACTTTTTGGAAGAGGCCAACAGCTCACCACTTAGAAATAGCTTCGAGTTCGGGTGAGCAAGCAACAATGCGAAAGAACTGTATGCAAATTCAAACCGACGAACTGTTGGAAAAGATCCTCGAATTAATCTACGAAGTTGGACGTGATTTCAAGAATGTGAATTCAGATTTGTATATCGCCGAAATTCGAGGCATACATATACTTGACGATTGGGTATGCATTTGGCAACATAACCGGCATGATGACTATGCTGTCACTCACGATTGAACAGATTTATTCNCGAAAAATCAAGCTGCGGATTGGGCATCATTCTGTCGTTAGCCAGTGTGAGTATATTGATGGATACTTCGATGGTCAATCAAGATGAATTGTTTATCCACGTTCAATTGGATAAGATTTTAGTGAACAAAGCAAATCTCAAATTTTTGTTTTCGATAGAGAATGCTCTAATCTCCAACCATTGCTCCTCAACTGAACATATACGGAAAGCCCTCGAATGAGGTAGTGGTAACAGCTCATTTGAAGTCATTTCTGATAACTTAACATTTTAATCCTCTGTCACACTTTAACAATATGGCAATTGGTTGTTTAATTATTCGAATATGTACTTAATATGAATAGGTAAAAATCACAACCGGAAAAACTGTCGTCAGAAAAGGTGAAAGGTGGCACATTATTGCTAATTAACATTCATACCAACTACATTTAATTTTTTTTTCGGACAAACGATAATCTTACGATAGTTTCAATCCTCCAATGACACTCATTAATGCAATAACGAGTATATTAGCGAATAACGAGTATTCGGAGAATCAAAAAA